AGCGCTTATTCGCTACACAACTCGATTACATGCTCTGGCTCGGGGAGACGGCGTTACTCGAAGGGAATAAGTGCATTCAAGCTAATTGTGTAGCCGCGCAAATATTAGTCGAGCTTAAATAAAAAAGTCATTAAATTTTTTTAATAATAATAATTGCTGATATTTTAATTAAAAAAATTAAATATAAAAATAATTAAATTTTTTTATAATAATAATCGCTACCCCTAGAAATTCGACTTATTATGGCGAACTATGCGGCTCCCGAAGCGAAATGACCCTGGATCAGGGGGGGATGCACGGACCAGTCCACCATAATAAGTTCACCATAATATGTGCTGCCCAGCGCCGGTCGCTGACCTCTGTTTTTGGCCTCGTCGTCTTCCGCGACGGCTTAGGGTAGGGCGGCCTACGGACGGACTATGAGCGACGGGTTTCTCTACAAGCCGGAGTGGCAGGTGCTGCTCTGCACCCAGTGCGGGTTCTATTTACGCCCCGGACGCAGCGTCTGGCTTCGACACCTCAGGCAGAAGCCGCACTGCCTGCGAGGTGCACCGTTGAAGGCTCTCGTCGAGCTCTTTGCAACCTACAGCCTGCTAGTCCCGGAGCAGGTAGCCGTACCGACCTAAGTAGTAGCTGGCCTACGGCTCTAGGATGGCTTCTAGTGCCTAACGTGCTCGGCGGGCCTCACACAGAGCCTCCAGACCATCCAGCTACACGTGTCCAAGGCGCACTAGTAGAAGCCTGTATTACATTAGAAGAGCCCCCTCTGGCGGAGGTGCAAGCTACAGACCTTCTTCGCCGAAAAGCAGCACATCCGGTATTTCGTGGCGGATAACGCCAAAGGAGCCGCAGACGCCGGCACAAAGAGCTTAGATCCAAGGGAGGCAGACTTCTTCAAACAGCTTAGCGAGGACGTAGCGGTTGCAGAGGAGGATACCAAAGCAGAAGCCAACGTCGTTTATGGCTTCGGTAGCCATAAATCTGCTATAGTGCCGTGGCTTCGACGGACGGGCATCGAGGAGCACACGCGGGGCTTGAAGAAGGACGAGATGCACACCTCTTTTGCGGTGCCAAAGAATGCCGAGAGCGAGCCCGAGCTATTCTTAATGCTGGAGGTTATAGACGAAATCTTCTCAGAGGCATATAGCTAGTGCTTCAACGGCCCAGACTGTATGCTGACCTAGCCACAGCAGCTAGCGTTGAGCCGTTTCCATACTAGCGCTGCCCCGGGGCAGAAGATACGCGCCTTCGACCCCAAGAAGGAGCCTAATACGCTCAAGACCAACTTCGGCTACTAGAAGCAGTTCCTAACGTTCTGCTACCGGGTCGTCTACCGCGGCAGCCACTTCACCACGGCCGACGACGACCAGCGGACCCCTGAGAGCTGCATCTAGCTTACGGATGCCCAGGAGAAGGCGTGGGAAGCGGCCTTCCAAAGTGCTGTCGAGTAGGACCGGCCTGCGCTAAGAGATACTATGTCCGTCCTCTCAATAGCGCTAATCTGCCACGAATTTGGAGGCAATCGGTATAGCTCCCCACTACTTAGCTTCTGTACTATGCTTAGCGTTAAGCTATATACTAAGACTTGGAAGGAACCGGGCAATTACAATAGCTGTTTGTCTAGTGTGATCTGGGTTGTGTAGCTAATCATCTTCCACGCTAGCGCCTATCTAGAGAAGGCGGAGCTAGGTGATACGCTCGAGCGCATTAAGCAGTATTGCAGGCGGTTCTTAAAGCAGGACACTAAGACTCCTATGGGTGAGATCCTCGGCTGGCGCTTACTACTGTTTACTGTCTCGAAGGAGGTCGTTGGGCCGCACTAAGCACAGTGGGATGTGGACGAGAAGGTCCTGACCTACCGGGATGTTGATTTGCATATGGATCACGTGCCGCGGCTCTTACTCTCCGACTTCTAGTAGGCCTAGCACCTACTCTACGACGAGCTGATGTTCGGGGCCCAGAACCTCCCGCGGATGCGTACTTGGGCTTTAAAGGACAACTTGGACGCCGATACCTACCCCCTATGCGGGGCGGGTCTTTGATTCAGAGTTCAGGTGGCGGGGTGGATGGTTGGCCCGTGTGTTGCTGATTAAGCAGCTTTTGATTCAGAGTTCTTCGGGTGAGGGTTCACTTACCCTAGCCCTCCCTAAGTTCCTCACACCTCCCCCGAACCTTTAAATATAAGCGTCTTTTCTTACAACTCAGTTCACCAAGTGGTTGTATGTCGTATTTGTCACTCTTGTATTGTTCCA